TCATGACCACCTTCGCCACCACCAGCACGACCACCACCAGCACGCACAGCACTACGAAAATGGAACACAACCGTAAGCACGAAAACAATGAAGCGAGAGCCAAAACGACCGCAGCATTGCTGGCAGGAGGTGTTGACAGCTTGGCCGTTCCCGTCGTGTCCTAGTGACAGCAGCAAAACACCAGCCGCATCAGCAGCAGCGGCAAGAGCAGGACGAGGAGGTTGGAGTAGCAGTAGTAGTCGTGGTAGTAATAATAATAGTAGTAGTAGTAGTAGTGGTGGTAGTAGTAGTAGTAGAGGTAGTAGTAGTAGTACCTAGAAGTTGAAGCAGCACGAGCGGCAGCAGCAGAAGCAGCAGCGGCAACAATGAGATGTGTGTGATTGGCATGTTATCTCCCACGCGCCGTTGTACGTTTATGAACTACACTTCGCCAATGGAGTGCGGTTGAATCTGTCTGTCGGCCCAGTTTCGGCACTTACTCTCCGGCAGAGGTTCGAGCACCAGTTCGGCAGCGTGACATAGTTTAGGGTCTATTCCAGACTATTCAACCTCAACACGTCTTTCAGGATGGCATCCTGGCCTCCTCTGCTGCAAGGGGAACTGGAAACGGTGGTGGTGGTCCATGGGCAGTATGTTGATCTTTCAACCCTCCGATCGAAAGCTGTCGACTGTCTGAACTGAACGCGTAATTTGATCCTTCTATGCTACTGATGCTACTGTCCCTCAGGCAGTATATAGGTTTCGGCAACAAAGAGACTTTCTCACCAAAGGATACTTTCTATCAAGTGGCGCTGCCGTTTTGATTGCCTGAGCCAGCGGCTCAGGACCCTTGCGAGCGGGGGGAGCTCCAACTGTCTTCTTCGAGTTCTTGGATTTCTTGTCCTCGGATGGCAGACTGGAAGTCCCTGCTATGCCTTATCAATCGAACATTCTGGTTTAATCAACCATCATATCCGCCGTATTATGATTACTATCCGTTACCGACTGTCCGCCCTGAGCAACTGGAATCGTTGTTCTGCGCGGCTGGTCGCGAATCTTTCAGACTTCCCTCCGGAGATGAGCGCCGCGACCAAGTGGCCATGTTTGGAGCAGGCGAACAAATCACCTGTGAGTGTCCGGCAGCACCCGCACCTGCACCCAACAAAAGGCCGTGGCAGCATGCCATCATGTCGGATGATACAGTTGGCGTTTGCAGCATCTGGGCTTCTGCGATGCGCTGCATCCATGTGCAAGCAAACCGGCCCAACTGCGTAAGTTGCTCGAGTAATGCTGTAGTGCTGCTGTGAACAATCCGAGAACATGGTGCGGAAGAGTGAGTAGGTCAGGCTTTGCGTTCTAGCACATCCCCGCCTCCTTGCTTTGGGACGCATCCCGGCGCGCACGGCTGTTTCGAGCAGGGTCCTTCCAATACTGTCCATCGCGTCGTTACGTCCCCAAAAGCATGGCCCACGGATAATATCTCTGCCTCACGCTCGGCAATCTAACCAAGGAATGTGCCACGATGAGGATCAGATGAACATGTCATGACATGAAGCAAAATTAATTTGTCTGTACACAGCGTGCTACATGTACATAATTCGCATCGACATGGAAAGCAATAAAAACGTACTCAAAAACCGTAGCAAAGGCTTCTTTACTCGAGACGAGCAGACCTCCACGCAGGCACACGCTCCAGAATATAATATTATGGGGTTTGCTATGTCATGTTATGCTGTACTGTCATATTATGCTATGCTCTATTCTATTCCATTCTATTCTATTCTAGTCTGTTCCAATGTATCGCGGTATATTGTCTTAGAGTATATTAGGTTATGTCATGTTCTTAGGTATCGTATATCACTGTACTATGCTATACAATACTATGTTGTGCTATATTGTACTATAATATACTCTATTCTCCTATGTTATACTAGAGTGTACCGTACTGCAATGTACTGTACCACACTATCCTGTGCTACACTCTTAAACTATAGGGAGTCGCAAGTGCTTGCAGGGCAAAGTCTTTCGGTACGCAGTAGATAGGATGCCAGTGGTCCTGGCACCAGCTGTCCAGCAGCCTTAGCGCTTCGCACCTTCGGGGCCAGATTTGCAGAAGGCTGATGGGCTCGGTATATGGCTATTTAGTGTGTACGGCCCTATGAGGCCCCCCACCGAAGTGCAGTCGACGATTATTTCGAGACAGGAATACGGTCTCACTGGGGAATAGTTACGAGCGGGCCACTATTCGACGAGTCGCAGGTCAACCGAAAACCGTCGCCCCAGCTGTGCCTTTGGGAGGTGGCGAGCCGCCTTCCGGATTTGGCTTTGGCCTCAACAAAAAGTCCGGGCTCGGATGTCCAGCACACTCTAGCACACTGATCTTCATGTCTCTCTTCATCTCCCCGATCCCTCCGCGTCACACGCAAACTTCCTGATGAGACACCGCTTGGGGATTTCTGCGGGCAGAAACATCTATCGTGCGTAGAACTGCAACGGACTCGAAGGAGAAGCCAAACACCCCTGCAAGGGATGCCCCGGCTTCTGGAAAACAGGACCATGTTCAACATGAAAACAGGTCCCGTATACATGGCTTCCCACAACTCCCACTATTACTACTACTACGACGACGACTACTCAATTCAGACTGGTGGCCGACGTAAGGCATCCTGGTATCTTGAATAATATGCAGGTCGTGGCGAAACTGGCAGCAATGACCCACTCAAAACAACTCTGCTTATCTGAGCAGCAAGCGTGGCCGTTGTCGTCCTCGTAATCGGTGCCAGGTAGTAAGTAAAGTCAGTAGGTGAATAGCAGCACTAGCAGCAGCAGCAGCAGCAGCAGCAGCAGCGGCAACACACGCTCTCCTCCAGGCCGATTCGCGTTCTAGCTGGTCGGTGGAGATTGAGGCCGGCCTGAATCGGTGCTCTGCATACGGGGGGTGATCCTGTGTGCCGGTAAGGGTTGGCCCGTCACGAAGAACCTTCCAGACGCCCACATCGTCGTAATTGTAGGCTTCAAGTAGAGACTTCAACAAGAGAAGTCGCTTCCCCTTCAGAACCTTTCGAAGCTCGGGGGGGAAGGACTTATGTAAAGCTTCTTCGTCTGGTCGGAGTTTGTGACCAGACCTGTCACCTGCTCAAGAAACTCGGCACGGATGTGGGCAACCCCCGATGGTGTTTTGGTCAAGTTCGCGAACAAGGCCTTCTTAAAGGAGTCGGTAACGGCACTAGGACCTGTCATCGGATGCCTAAGGGAATGAGCTCGCTGAACAATTTCGGCCGGATTTGCAAAAATCCCGACAGGAACCCTATCTGATGAAACGGCACCACAGGACCCCGAAGAAGAAAGGCCCTCCGAAGTGCTAAAGGCCCCGTGCACAGCCCCCTGATCCGGCCGCAGCACTTTGTGAGGAACCTTGGGAAGCTCTGAAGGAGAGCTCCAAACGACCTTGGAAAACTCAGGCATCAATTGGTTCGACTTTCGTCGCTGTTGGAGCTCGTCCCCCGGTCGACTGACCTCCGCAGGAGGGGAGAAGGAGGTTGCTTGGCAACAGGCTTGAATGATGCACTGAACAAAAGCTTGTGGGTGGGTGGGCTGGCTCGAAGGAACTCCGAAAGGCGCATGTTTATGCCCGGGGCCAAGGCCAGGGCAGTCACGAAGCAAAGGCGGAAGTGAAGCCATGTTTGTTACAAATCTAACCGAACTAGGCCTGGAACCTCCAAGCATGCAGAGGTCACCGCAACAGGAAACCAGAGAGTTCCTGGAAACCTGAAATTCAGGAAGGGATTCAAAGCAGATCCAAAAGAAAGAGCTTTGCGGGCACTCAATGCACACGAAAGTCTTGCGACCAAGGGCCCACCGGAGCAAACGGCCCCAGGGCTGGTCATCCGATCTCAAAGGCGGGCATCTGTCAGACGCCGGGTGTGACGAAGGCAGGGACCTGACACGAGCACGATTTGCAGTTCGGCACGGGGGTCGGATGTACAGACAGGTGGGCCCGAAATCATCAAGGATGCTAATGGCAAAGTCTTGGCCCGAAGGACTCGCCAGCTCGCACACAAGTGGCTGATGTTTGTGTCGTCCAGGGGCCACGGAGTGGTCGATGGCTGTGTGCCAACCTATCCTACGAAAACCCGAAGACGAAGAACCATCACCCGAGAAAACCTGGGCAAAGGACGTCACCTGAGAGGGCGCGCAGTCGGTTCAATGAAGAATGCGAGGCGGCAAGGGGTTCGGGTAGTTAAGGTCGGAGTGCTCCGGGAGCTGAAAACCCAAACTCAGTAGCACTTTGCGGTCTGAAGGGCTCGCGTGGTCAGTCGCCTGAAGGCTGTATGCCACCAGGACAATCCTACGACCCTGGAACCTGCATGTTGCATGCCGCAGACCCTTGGCGCAGAACAAGACTGGATGCTTTGAAACCGGAAGTAGAGCTCCAAGGACATTCTCGGAACCAATGGCTCGGGTTTCGTATTGAAAGTTAGAGTCACGAGGGGCACACGATGGCCACTCCACCCATAGGTCTCCTCCGGTGAACTCGCTCAAACCTACGACCAAATTATCGCACTGGGCATTCAAGGCGTCCACATGCAAGGAGGTTTCCACAGAATCGAAAATGATGACTGATGTGAACTTGTGGTCCGGAAAGACCTGACGTACGAATTTAGTGATGACCTTTGTTGAATTCGGAAACAATGTAGAGTTACGTCTTAGTGAAACTTTGACTCTTGCGTAGAGCCCGGTGGTGAAAGAGCCACCAGCAGAATGTTGATCTCTGGCTCCACTGTAGGCCTGCTTAGGAAGATACCCAAAACCCGCGCAAATTATGCCCATGAAACCGGCCTGGGGCTGATTCGAACTGACGTGAGCCCCTGTGCTGGAGAAGCAAAGGTGCCAAACCAGCTGCAAAGCTACTTGGGACCTGGAAGCTCTCGCAATGAGCTGGGGTCTGGGGTCTCCCCGCGAGTTCCAGCAACTTCGCAAGACCTTCTGTCGCCTTTTGTTGATCTTTCCCTGTCGGAAGCCTATGCCGATTCAGCTTCGATCACAGCGGCCCAGACAAAGGGAGGCTTCAGCATGTCGGCGGCCAGCTCGCCAGGGTAGGGGTCGTGGAGCCTCGTCTGACGGACGGCGAGCCAGTGTCCATTCTGTGAGGCGGATCCAGGGAAGACAACAGAGGTCTCGTGCGGCACAACTCGATTCCAGTCTGCTGTCATGCAGAAACCAAACGTGTGAAGGCATGGCGAAATTGGTGCTTGAATCTGAGACAGAACTCAGAACACCAGAACACCATCACCTCCTTCATGCAGCACAGCCGCAAATCGAACCTGATGGAAAATTTCAAGGCCACGTACTGACACACGACGAGCGAAATCAGTTGGCCAAGGCACCCCGTCTCGCAGGCCCGCGCCACGACCACATGGCCATGATCGCCACGCGGGGACGTCCCGCGCAGTACGCAGAGCTTCCCCACACCTCGGCACCATGCATATGCGCCGACCTCGACTCTGGCCTCCTACGTCGATTTCTGAGTCTGAGAGACCCGCAAGTTACAGCATCTCGCGGAAGTCGCCCATCTTCCTTCGGACAGGAGACGAAATCCTTCCCGACGCCCCTCTTGTCCCTCTGCAGGAACAGAAGTACATGAACCTGCTCTCTCCTTGACTCTACATTTCATTATGCCGAGTCCAGCGAAATCTTTCGCCAGGTCATTCGCTGTGCTGCCAGCCAGGTCTGGCAGGCCTTGTCCTGGTAGAGCAGTTCAGGGCTACAGGATGCTACAGGGCTCCTGGTAAGCTACGGCTCTCAGCCGGACAGGAGCCACAAAACGTGGCAGAGACACAGATGGCAACAATGCGGCCAGGGCTCATAGCCAGCTGGATCTTCGAGAAAGTTTGGAACCTCGTCGAGGGGCCGGCGCACCTCAACTCGGCGCACTGGAGCTACTTGTAGAAATGATCTGTTTGTCGCATACAACAGCGTTGCATGACGATAGCCGTGTCACTATGGATGCGACAGCTGCCTGCAGAGCATTGCCTGCCCCGGCTGTGAAGATAGTTTGCTGCACCTAAGACGGCACTCAATTGGGCAAGTAACTGTCGATATGTTCCCCAACCCGTTCAACTTGTAGGAGGCCCAGGCACTTCGTCATAGTCCTTCTCCGAAGCCATTCCAGGCGTCACTGGTCGGAATTCAAGCCGTATTGGACTATTCGCACAGGACCATGCTTGCTGTTCTAGCTGCTTCCGGCATCTGTCTATGAATTTTGCTGTCTCCAAGGTTTCGCAGTTGCCTTGCATCCTGAATTCTGAAATTCGACGTTTTGCCATACGTGGGTTGTCGCTCATTCGCGGCCGTGCTCGCTGTATTTCCGGGCACTGTCCACAGACATGCGATCCAACATGCAGTTCACTGCAGAGCTGCACAACTTTCGCGCACACCATACTTGATGAAGCAACATAGTTATTTGCACCTGCTCTTTTAACTGCACAAGTTGGGAGTGAAAGAGCAACCTAGACAAGGAGAATCCTGAGACTACAGCTAGGGCCAGCTACGGCGGCCTCATATTTGGCTGCTCGGCCCCGCTCTAAGTTGGACAGGGCAGCCATCCCCGCCGCGCGAAGCGTCGCCCCAAGTCACAACTGTTCCATCCGTTCGCGCTGCCGCGAAAGCTGCTGCGGTAGCATAGATAAACTCCTGCCAAGCACTTCGAAACCTGTGAAGACTGCACAAGACAGCTCGTCGGAAGAGTAAAACTATCATGCCCCAGGCTCCACGTTGATGAGCTGATGCTGTACATAGCTGCTGTCACCTGGGGCTGGGCTGTGGGCTGACGAATGACAGTTGTGGCCTCCAGCTTTCGCATCCCAGGTCAAGCCACCGCCACGCAAGGCTTGGCCCCAGGTTACCACGGTACCATCCCGTCCTAAGTGGGTCGGATTGATTTCCGTGATCCACCCTCCTCTGAACGTTCGGCGGTTTTTGGTCCCTCGCTTCCATCGAGCACAATCAGTTGTCTGCTTTGACCCAGGTTCGAACAGCTGCGAAGGCATAGGCGTTAGCGCACACCTGTTGTGAAGTTGCGTTAGCGCACACCTACCTATGGAGACACAACTGCCTGCTTCTGCAAAAGCTCGTCCATGGGCGACGGCTTTCTGACATGTCCGCAAAAGCCCCCTCCCAGGCAAAAATCTCAATCCTGCCACATCCGAAAGCTTGCAATCCTTCCGCACTTGAACACATGTTCCAAGCTTTCCAGACAGGGCCTGCTCGACATCTCTCAGCTGTTCTTGCACCATGCTGCTGTCTCCACCCTTTTGCGACTCTCCCCACGTCACAACCCGGCCATCCCTTCCTCAGCTGAGAAGATTTGCGAACTTTGTGCAAGGAATGCTGGAGGTTTGATCTTTAAAGGTCAGCTCCTTCCCCTCGGATGCCTTTGCTATGCGATTTTTCGAGGACTCCGGTAAGCCTGTTCTATGTACATGTGGAAAGTGCATCAAGAGCTCATTAGGATGAGCCGCATACAGAGGTCTTGGGAGACTGCCTCGACGTGGCAGGGGCTAGAGATAACATCAAGCTACCAGCTCCGTGCAGGCGCAGGTGCGAAGAGCTGCCCAAGCAAAGGAGTACACTTCGATGGTCAACACATCGATCAGCTGGTGCTGCACATCCGCACTGTTACCACCCATATCTGGGTGGCCCCAGGTGACAACCTCTGGAAACAGAAGCAGGGTGGCATGCCGCAGAACCATGCATGCACTTTTCAATCACGAAGGACTAGAACGCAGTGAACGAAAGCACGTACACAGGAACACTCCTCTCCGAGATACGGGTACTTAACAATGCAATTAACCCAAACTAACTAAGGATAACTAACGCTTGCAGAGCCACTGATCCGTCATCTCTGATCGCTGCGAATGCGAGCGCGCGACGTGAGCTGTACACCTTCTTGACCTCACTGGGGCGCAAAGGAGCATTCCGCTGAAGATGAGGTTACGGATCTGGTGCTGTCGGGCCGTGCGCGCAGGGCATACTGCAAACTGAGCTGCAGAAGTCAGCGATTGGCGCACTGAGGAGCTGTCGCCTCCCGCATCCCGCCGCCAACTTTCAGCAGAACTCTGCAAATTTTCTTAGGACATGCAGAATATATGCACTGGCACTCAGCCTCCAAAGGCCGGATCTCCCCAGGTCACGACACTGCCATCTTGGAGCCGTGCTGCAAAGGCGCTTGCGTTGGAGGAGACATCCTCCAAACAGAGTTGAAGAGAATCTACAGCAGGCTGCACTGCACTGGTCATCGCCTGCCCAAGGCCCCGGCCTGAGCCGGAAGCAGGTTTGCCATGGAAGCGGCAGCGGAGCTTACGTCGCCCCCTCGATCTGGGCAGCCCCAGGCGAGGAGTTGGCCATCCGCAGTCTCCGCTGCAAAGGCAAACTGGTTGGCGTGCAGACACGTCACCACATTGCGCCTGACAGTTGCATGCCCATCTCGCAACTACAGCTAGAGGCTTCGTACTCGTGTCTCCAACCCCTCACTTTCTACCATCCTCATGGTCTCATTCATTCGCCCTTGTGGCGCAGATACAGAAAGGCCCGGCAGAAATTCGCTCTCCGAGAAGTTCACAATGCAGCACAGGAGCTCCAGATCGTTCTGTCTTGCGCTGCTGTCACCACCATGCTCAGGGTGGCCCCATGTAATCACACGCCTGGGCTCTCAAACAGTTCCACGTCCAAGGGTGCGGGCCAAGTCTTCCTGAATGGCGGTCTATGCGGCGTGAGCTACCGGAAGCGCTACGCTTTCCTGGGTTGCGCTGGGGCCTGGGTGCGAACCCGTCATTCCTCAGAGCCGCGAATGCGTGCGAGTTGGCGCAGATCTGTTTGACCTGATTCTCTGCTTGTCGGATTGAAAATGTCAACCGGTCGATCCGGCAACGGCATCTGGCGCGCCTGCACAGCAGGGAGTAAAATCAGACAAGCCACCCCAATCAGCTGTTCGCGCACCGCACTCGAGTCACCACCCATCTGTGGATGACCCCAGGTGATGACAGCACCGTCGTTCCGCACGGCTGCGAAGGCATGCCTTGTATGAGAGCCCTTCATCGAAAGACTTAGGGAGAGCTAGGAAGAGCGGCCAGATTCTTCGAATCAAGGTCTCAACTTACAGGAGGTGCAGAAGGCCAGTAGCTGATATCTTTCAAGAAACCCTCACAACAAGAACTATTTCGACTTATATAACTTTGAGCATTTAAGCTGCGCAACAATCAACGGACGCTGAGACTTCCTGTCCAATGGGCATGCCGGGGTAGAATTGTTTGGGGAGAATTCTGGTGGAGAACTCACCAGACCTCGCCTTGCTTCCCAACTTGCTAGAACCAGTCCAAGAAGAGCTGCGCAGAAGCACAAAGGTAGTCGACACTGTGGAGGTCTCCCTTCACGAAGCTGCTGTCGCCTAGCACACAAAGCAACACAGCAAAGATCAGCAAAAGCAACAGCAAGGAACGCTTCCACAGGCATTGATTAATTAATCCATGTAATGCAACGCTGCAAAGCTGTTTCTGTTGCTTCTGCCAAGGGCTCCTCCCTCTATCGTCCAGCCGTCTGGCAGACAACCTACCTTGAGAAGCACGGCAAGCATGTGTTGCGCGTACAGTAGGCCGTCGCATCGGCCCTGTCAGCAGGGCTACGACGGGACTTCCTTTGTGAGATCCACTTCTGCTTTCATGTGGAAGCCGCGTTTGTCACTGTCCGGTACGATGCATACGTGCCCAAGGCCCTGCTTCAGCCGGTGGCATCCGTTTTCCTCTGGCTTGTATGTTTCGGGATCCTGAATCACGTAGAAGGAGTTGCCTGTCTCGTCATACTCAACGTGCATCCAGTCCGACGAGATCTTCCCGTTGTTGTACTTCCAAACCGTCGAGGCCCTTTCCAGGCCTGTGCCACCGAAGTGCACCCCTGTCCCTGTTACACCCGTGATTGTGGAGCTCTGGCCCACGCCAAGGTCTCCTCTGATGTCCTCAAAGATCCCTCCCAACGCTGCCTCCCCGGATTTGTGACCGCTGCTAATATCCTTTGCCGTCTTCACAACGGTGTTTCCGGCCGTTCCTTTTGCGGATCCGTGCACGGATCCTGCCGATCCCGAGGCGAATCCAACTACGTTGCTGACCAGCATCGTGGCGATTTTCGTCTCGAGGTACTCCACGTTGCGATTGTAGGCCATAGTTGGGTCCGGAGGACGCACTGAACCGTCAGCAGACGAAGCTGGGCACTTGTCCGCAGGTGCTCTGTCGCCACTATTGTCGTGCCCGACGAGCAGTTCGCCTATAGTGCCCGTGCAGAAATATTTACTTGTCCAGCAGCACATCCCATCGTGAAACCAGAAAGGACGGTCGGGTCGAATCTGCTTGAAGGCGTCGCAATGATGCCTCTCTATCGGAATGAGAGTAGTGTCAATGGAACCCTTCTCCACTTGCGACTTGCAGCAGCATACTGGGTCACCCAACGCTTCTTCGTCTGCGAGTGCCGAATCCAGAGCAGGTCGCACGCCCCCCACGGGAACTCCAAACACGAAGATGGTGTACCAGTGGCAAGCAAGCTTTGCAACTTGCATCACTCCTGTGAGACGGCAGCTGCTTGTGGATTTTACAGAGATGATGGATTTCTAGGCCCTAGGCTAGCAAGAGGCTTGATGTTCGAGGCTTCCAGTGCAGGCCGGCCGTCGACAACATTCTGACGCGGCATACGCGGCTCTCTAATCTCCAACACTCACAGCTGGCTCCCACCCCCCGAACTGCAGAGCGAACGCTGCACTTGTTCGCCTCCCCTGCCGGCATTGCCCCAAGTGATGACAGAGCCGTCTCTTCGAAGAGCTGCGAACCTAGCATCAGCTCAAAGCCACACATGGCTCGCAGGATGGTCAGCTGCGAGGAGACATTGAACAACTACCAGAGCACTGTACAGACGGAGCACATTGAAATCGCGCGCTTGCAGGCCAAGGGCGCGAAAGAGTGCGTGCTGAGCTGGAGGACGCCTACGAGATCGTCCTGGACAGCCGAGCCTTCGAATATCTTCCGGGCGATCAAAACTTACCATTCCGCGGGTTGAACGGGCATGCCATGATATTGTGACTAGCGGGTCTGAAGAGCCATGCTGCAGTCGCCCCCTCGCTGGGGGTGGCCCCAGGCAAGTGCTTCTCCATGCTCGGAGACCACAGCAAAGGCAGCACAGCCAGCATGAAGCCGCGGCACACGGCTCAGCAGCATGGTCACCTGATTCGTGGCATGAGTAGATCCAAAGCGGTTCAGAAGCCACATGCTGCCGAAGCCACAGCATCACCATCCCGCAGGGACCTGAGTGCTTAGAGGAATTACTCAGTGCCCTCCGCGCATGCTTCCCCTTCCATCCGGCGTATGCCAATTCCTGGACACAGAAGGCTCTGCTTTCGCTGGGCAAGCAGCTCTTGCACTTTGCTGTGGGGCGCAAGGACCTTGCCCTCCGGAGTCACTAAGCCCTGCAGGGTCCAGCATGCAGCGTGGCTGAAACCAGCCAAGAACGCTCCCCAGAAGCCGTATGCGCGCCGTGGAAACTTCGGGCCCTCCCCTGAGCCTGAAGGCGTGCTCCGAGAGCTGCCGCTGCTTGAAGCTGCAGGACCCAAACTGCGTCCTGTGGATCAACCTGCCAGGGACACTTCCAGAAGGTGGCAAGCATGCTGCGTCTGCACGAACTCAATGCGACCGACGGCCACTGCTCCGAACCTCCACGTCCCGCTGCTCCCCGCTCAGCAAACCCACGGACACTCGAATTGTCATGGCAGCATCATGGCGCACAAGCCCTGGGCAGATCCTTCACCGAGAGTGCTAAAACTTGACTAAGAGGAGTCCCTCGACCTTTTGGTCCCATGCCGTGGTGCTGTTGAAACTGAGGTCAAAGGCCCTGCAAGGCTTGCATAGCTCGCTATCTACGCGTAGAAAGTTCAGCGGTGCAAATGACACTGACACACTGCTCCATGAACGATGCTTCTGCCGCTACATGCGGCTGTCTGTGTGGCACATCCGGTATAGTACAAGCTCGGGCCAGTCAGCGGCGTCCCGAAAACGAAAAGCGGCGCCTCGATGCTCCATGCTGCTCTAGCTCCGGATGGTAGAAGCGCCTTGAAGTGTTCGTGGTCTTTCGGCCAACGACTGACAGAGCTCAGGTCGCGAAGCATCGCTTTCGATGCTTCTGCTTGTTTAAGAGCAGCAGACATCCCCTCAGTGCTGCGCGGGCCGGGCATTCTGACCTGGTAGCGTGAAAGACCAGCCACGTGACGCGACATGCCAACCTGCTTGCTGGGCCACACATAAAAGGAGCATCACTTGCAGCCCGCGTGAGGAATTTTGTTGCAAGGCTCCAGCATCTGTGCTCCGTCCTCATTTCAAGGTAAGGAGTCAGCAGCAGAAAACTGCCCATGAGAACGGGCATGCGTCGAAATTACAGCTGATAGTTGGCAGCGTGTCATCTGAATCTCAAACTTTCTACTTCTGGGCCTTTCCAAGCAGACCCACCTACTCCGACAAGCTCTGTTTGGCTTTCTAACGGCATACACACACACACACAGACACACACACACACACACGCACGCCCCTGAACATACCAGTAGAGTGGGTGACAGAGCACTCGGAACAGCAGCACAGACTGTCGGATCGAGGGAGGAAGGATCTACCAGCTAACAATATAAAACAACTGTCAGGTCTTCTCCCTTCGGGAGCATGACCGCCAGGAGTCGTGTAATGTACAATGCAATATCACATGTCTCATCCGAGGCTCACAACAAAGCTTCAGTGCAAATAAGTTCTCAAAAGCACAGCGACAAGTGCGGCGCGCAACACGTGCGATGCAACTCGTAGACAGGATATGCTTGTAAGTTTTTAGCTCAGTCACTCATTCGTGCTGTAGAATTACGGGAGGGTGGCGAAGCCAAGTGCAAATTGCAGACATCCGGACGGCATCAGGAAGCTCGCAACTTTCCGGGCTCACTCTTCTCCCGCCGGAGGCTCGGCAAGCTGGGCAAACCAGGTCGATCCTCGGTGGCCGGTCTATACGAGAGTTTCCGAAACATATATGGGTTTTGCAAAAAAACGGCCCTTCATGTTCATGAGGCTTCCTAAACCTACTAGAGCTGCCCTTCTCCCTCAGCTTTGCTTTGGGGAGAGACGCATGAGAGCGCAACTTCTTCACAACGTTTGCGCCTCTGCATCTGTATACCAACCTACTCAACGCGAACATGTGCATCAGTGCACCTAGGACTCCGGGCGGGCGGGCGGGCACTTCAAGAGAAGACTGCTTTGGCAGCAGCAACACAGATCGATGCCCAACTAATGAAGCTGCTACTTGTAAGAGTGCGGTGCGCTGAATCAGCCGGAGGAGAACTGGTAGCCTCCGACCTGACCTGGCCTTCCCTCGCAGCTGAAACCCCCCAGCGGGTCGAATATGCCTACGCCACACAGAGCGGAATGGATTCTTGGCGACTCTGCTGCTCACAATTCCCCTCTTTCCTTGGGAGCTTGTTGCACGAGTCTTGCTCGTTCGGTGTGAGAACGCTGCTCCGCTACTGCTTCTGCCCTGCAAACCCACCCTAACCCTTAACCCCCCTGCAGCCTTGGTTTTTCAGGGCTGCGATGTCTGTGGTGTATGCATTTGTTCCCCCTCTCAGCCCCTGCTCATCCAACGCTTTTCATCAATCAGTCTCCGAGCGAAGGCAGGGCCTCTTTGGTTCCAAGGCCCTTTGGCCGCTTCAGCTTATCTACTGAGTCTGACGACGACAGATGCACACCTCCCCCGGCACAACTTCTGCAGTCCAGTGTTGGCGATCCGCTTCTGGAGATCCTACAAGCAAGCGTCCCACTGCCGTAGGGCCATCAAGAGACTTGGTGCCCTCTATCCCCGACAGGTCAACGTACTCCAAGGATTTCGGAGGTGGCACATCCAGCCCTCGCAGGCCCAACAGGTTCGCACTCAGGTTGGCGCGACGCAGCTTCGGTAGCACGAAGACCTCTGCTGCATCTCCCCGGATCTGGTTCTTGGACAGAGAGATGTCCTCCAGACTGATGAGTCCCAGGACGGCCCCAAACTCACGCAAATGGTTGTCATCCATATTCAGGACCCGGACGCCAAACGCGAAAGTGGCGATCGCTGGAGCCAGGTGGCGCATGGACAGGCTGCTCAAGTTCAAAGCGTTTTTGTAGGTCTCCGGGCAGGCGAGCCACGCCTGCATCGTCTGACGAGTACGGGCTGCAGCCCGGGCATCTGAGTAAAAGTTCTTCCGCAAGGGATCGAGCGTGCTTGCATGTGCCGCGCTCTCTGCAAGAGCGCTTTGAGTAGACTTCTGCTGCTCTGCATTGCAGCCGGATGCAAGCCGATCCTGCAGACGACTTTGTGCCAGCAGCGCCCACCTGCAGTCAGGCTCGATCTCCAGTAGCTCCTTTATCCTCTCGAGTTCCGTCTCAAAGACCTCTTTCCTCCGCTCCTCCAAGCTTTCTCCCAAAAAGGCATCCAAGACTGAGAGACTGGAGGCAGCCGCAGAAAGGTCTATCATCGGACCCTGGAATTCAACCTGCTGAGTCGACAGAGGGGATGCCTTGCCGTCTGGAAGGCTTCCGAAAACCTCGATGTCGACTGTGATTCGAACCTCCATTGGGCTGCAGCACGGCACGGTGCCACCTGTCGCTTGAAATTGCCAACCGAGCGCACAATTGCGCCGGCGTCTCGCAGATTCACGAGTCCGCTGCACAGCAGACTTGCGTGACGGGATAGTGGGCTCTAGATGCCCGTCCAGTTTCTGATCACCCTGCGACACTGAGACATTAGATGCACAAACAGGCTTCGAGAAGAACACAAAGACCTCACCATCCATGAGCACACAGTGTGTTATCCTGGGCATTTCTGTGCCACGTGCCAACGTGGTCAGCCAGTTGTGATAAAGCCACACGGATTGGTCGTTCGGCTCGGTGAAGATTCCCTCTTGGACCCACTCCAGCTCCTGATTGATGTCTATCTCCATTTGTGGCTCCTGACACTGGCGCAGAAAGCGTGAAACTGCAGCTATATAGACAGCGAAAAACAAAACACCATGCCGCTCCTCTGTTCCAGCACGCTGTTGCAGCAGGGTGCGCAAATGCCACGCTGAGTAATTGGAGAAGTTCCGATTGATAAGGTCCGTGCTGAGCTTGAGATCAATGGAGCCCAAGTCAATTGGCTGCAGTTGATCCTTTTGCCAGGAGCGCATCAGACCCATCACGTGCATGCGGTGGTTCCAGCAATGGAAATTTCGCTCGTCCACATCCAGGAGCCTCCCGCATAACTCCAGCTCAGTGTCGAGCAGAAGTTTGACGCTGTCCTTGGGCTCAACAGACATGTCGTCAAACATCACTGCGGCTTCACGCTCGCCTAAGGAAAGAGACTTCGCTGAACCTAGGTGCTGTTTTTTTTCTTCAGCCAAATCCCACCGACGTGAATGCATAAGAGTGTCAGGATCTGCTTTGAGCTCTTGGAACAAGTGTTCAATGACCCACTTGCGGTGAAACCAGATGGAGTAGACCTTCTGCGATTTCCGCAGCGCCTGCAGCGAAGCCCACAGCTGTGTCGGCTTAAGGCAGAGCCTTCTACTTGGCAAGCTCATGAACAGTGGATGGTCTCACTGGCAGCTTCTGCAAAAAATCTTGGTCCACCGTGCCTACAGCTCAGAACCTATCAGCCATGAACTTCATCCATCCGCCTTCTCTAAGAGCTTCATCTCCACTTCAAGAAGCTCCCGAAGAGGTTTGCTGATCTTGCCGCTGGTGAGTAGCTCGCGTCTGTATCCCCAAAGAGTTGGGAACTCCGGGTGGAACTGAAGGGCCTTGGACGTCATGTCCAAGGCTTCTTCGCTGCAAGCTTTGTTCTGCCTCATCTCCAAGAGATTTCCAAAGAGGCCCCGAGCCTTTCGCACTTGCTCGCGCTGCTTCTCCTTCTCCTCTGGGCTGGGCTCCACGACATCCTTCTTCACGCGGCCGTGCATCTGAGTGGCTACTGTGCGCCTCTTTGCCTCCGTGCTGTTGCACAGCTCACCTGAAAGGTCAATAAGCCAAGCTTTGCGCAAGGCTGCGCCTATTCTTTCTGCAATGTGCTTGTGTGTTGTTCTCTGCTGGTCTCTGCACCGCTTTTCTTATGTACCCATGCTCTGGAGCTTGGGAAATATCGGCTTCAGGAGACCAGATCCCGAAATCCACACTACTGTGGCAAGCAACGCATCTGCATGGATCCCGCGCACCTGACACGCTGCAGTCCGATGCGCGGCACAGACCGGAGTTTCAGAATCTCGGGACGCCCTAGGATCCATTTAATAAGGATCCCATTTGTCAGGGTCCTTGAATTTCAGGCTACCCCTGCGAGGCAAGGCTCGGGTAGTCTCCGCACTTCCGAGGCCACGCGGACAGGGACACCAGCGACCGAGCGTCCGACCTCTTCGGAAAGGCTGTGGAGAAATGTGGGGTTGCCTTACAGTACTGGGAGTGACCAAACAGATCCTGGCATTTCAGGGAATTAAGGGCTCTGTGTTTTTTCTTGATCTCTCAGTTGAAGATGGGTTGGGAACTGAGGGTCATCGTTGACAAGGTACGCTCCGCTTCGCGGGCTAGAAGGCTTTGGGTGCTCTTTGAATTTGTGTTTTGGAATCGTATTTGCATAAGTTAAGTGCCCTTTGAGGGAACTAACAAGAACCCTGACTTGGCGAGGTACCCACAAGCAAACTGCATGAGGGAAACTATTGGACATTGGAGGGCACTCCGACCTAGGCTCGAAGCTCCGTTAAGAGCTCGCTTCTTCATTCGCATGGACACATGCTGCAGACCCTCGCTGGCATCTTCTCACGCCCAGACTGACACTGTGCCGCCGGCCTGTTGATCACCTGGGCCAGCCAACGATCAAGGATGCAAAATGGACAGCACCGAAACTGCAGCCACGCCACGCATCAAAGGATGCGGCAGCAGCGAAGGCATGCGCTCAAAACACCACTTCGGCTGGGCGCCACTGGGCAGCCTCAGCCACAGCGGCCGAAATTCACCAGGTGAAACTGGCGGCTGGCGCCTCCTCCAAACCATGGCCGTCCAAAAGAACGTCTCCGGATCACTGACCCAAAATATCGACACTGTTGCAGGTCAGGCCACCCACGCGACGCAACATTGAAGAGGCGTGCCGAGGGTGGCTGCACCTGCCTGGCTCCATGCACAGGCGACACAGTACGAAGTTGGCAAGCCGTCGTTGTGCGAGCACTGGGCTCACTGTTCCAGGGAAAGCACAAGTCGCTGAGAATTCAAACTCGGGTCATCTATGGCAGTCTTGCAGAGGCGCATGTAGGCGGTGCAGCCATCGCCACTGCTGCCAGGGAAGCTTTCCTCCTCGAAACAGTAACGGTCATGCGACGAGAAGAGGGTGAAACACAAAGAGCTGCCAAGGACGCCACACCTTCCTACTGTAGGAGACCTGACCAACTGCTCAAAATGCTCAAATCAGTGTCCTGTCGTCGTCTCGGTACACCACGGCCCCCATAAACGAAGCTGTGGTGGACCTGTGCCCATCGAGATGCGGCAACCCAGTCAGCACGGGAGCCCGGTATCGGAGTTACTCGAAACAACGATGCAACGCAACAGTGCGCGACCTGCGGAGGAGAAGGTGCATTCCTCAGCTGCAAAAAGCAAAGTAGGTAAGTAGGCGTCAGGAAGAACATCACCGCCTGAGGAAAAATGCTTGCTCTTGGAGGCAGGGCCTAGTCCTTCCCTGACTCTGCAAACCAAGTTTCACCGGCTTGGGCGGCGCGGGCGCTGCTGGTTCGGGGCCGCGGACACTTTGGTTGACCCACCTTGCAAAGCGTCTCGCTGGTGATTTGCTTTTTGAGCTGACAAAAGATCTGTAGTGAAGTGCTTGCCCCTGCAGTCACTTCACTACCGATTTCTTGCTCAGCCAATCGCTTGCAAGATTGGCTTTCCATGCCTAGCTGTGAACCACTGAGGCATGCGCAACCAGCATTCTTACAGTTGGCATTCTCCACAGTTGTCGAACAAAACCTGTCAAACAAACCAGAGTTAGCTGCAGGCTGAGCAACGCAAGGTGGGCCGTTTGCCCATGGTGTCCTGAGTTACACACACGCACATACACAGACAGAGAGAAAGAGAGGGAGAGAGATAGCGAGAGAGAGAGAGAGAGAGAGAGAGAGAGAATTGGCACTTGCACCGACAAGCATTGCAGTATGCAGATGATCACCGGAAACCGGACGAGCTCCGGCTGTGCTTCATGGCTCAACTTGTCATCTGTAGCATGGCCCAAAAAATTACACGTGTGCCATGCACCAATCTGCTGGAACGGCATGCATCTTATCTCTCTTCCTGGCATAGGGACGCTGAGACGCGCGTGGTGTGCAAACTGTCTGCCAGTGCTATCCTCTGCTAGTGCTAGCCTCTGCTCAATTTCCCTTGGACCCTGACCTGTTAGCCCAATCTCCTTATGAGACCGGATGCATTTCACAATGAGAGATGCGGATCTCTGGCTCTCCCTCTCTGTTTCTCTCTCTTGCATGCAAGCAGCTGATGAAGTTCCGGACCTCGTTAGCGGAGAAACATGCAGGCTGATGACGAATGATGGGAACAACCGCTGATACCATCACAAAGTTAAGAGCTAGCTTTGCTGGCCGCCCCCAGCCGCAAATGGACTCAAGCTGCCACGACAACTCGTTCACCCAGCACGAACTTTTGTGTTGGCCGCTGAAGGACTACTGAGCGATCTAGCTTAGCGGCTAGCCTTTCTCCTGCTCCAACTTTGAGCATGGGGGCCTCTGCAGCATCGCTATGGATCTGCCGAAGTGACTCGCCCTTGGATGCGCGCGGCACACTTTTGCTGGCAGTGCTGACCCTAGCAACATACGTCAGGCTAGCCCGGCAGGCCCTCTTGGACTGTAGGGGAAAGACTCGAAAACAATTTGAAGCTTGAAGTGAATCTCATTTAGCAAAGTAACCTGATTCCAGGATCCAATCTCTGCATTTGTAGATGTCCATGCCATGGCATCACCAGGAGCTGCTACACAGACTCCCGAGGCATTATGAAGTGTTTCTAGAATTCTAGGATTTCCGCAGGCAGCCATCTCACCCACCAGAGCAATCCTTCTAGTGCCGTGCGTGCATGTCAATGCCCATGTGCGCTACGGTCCGATGTGCTTGACTTCTACTAACCGGGTCCGCCCTTCGTAGGTTCGAGGCGCCCTGTCAATCTGGCGCTCATGCATCTGCTGACAGCCAAGACTCTGGCAGCATGCGCACACGTGCATAAACCCCGGAGCATGTGTTGGACTGCACTGCGTAAGACCCGAGCAACGCAAAAACGTTTTGGCAGGAAAGAGGGCCGAGTTCGAGTCACTTTGTCAAAGTTCAGATTCAGATCAAGCTGACCCATTGTGGCGAAAACCGACAGTTGACAGTGAAGAAAAAAGCCGGATGCGAAATTGAAACCAACTGATCCAGCCTCACCTATGAGCCATAAAGTAAACAGGTGGTGTGGATGCGCAGAATCCTTTGATCCAAGCTCGAATCAGCACGACTGGCATGCCCGATCGCATTAAAATGTCAAACTATTCGTACACGACCTAGCGACGGGCAACCATTCTACAGGAACACTCGCAGCCAAGTCTGAGCTACCCACCGCATAGCCATCCGATTCATCCACAGTATGTTCGACGCTCGATCTGTTTACCAACTTTCTTGATTAATTTACTGCATCTACTGGCTACATGGCACTTGACCGCCCATCTCGCAGGCAAGCCGTAGTGCCGAAATGAAGAAGCAGCTCTGAGCCGAAAGGTGCGCAACGATGCGCGCATGAGTTTGGACTGTTGCAGCAGATGCATGCCTGCAAATACAACCGTGGTAAGAGCTTGTGCCCTCAAAGCTGTTGCAAGCCCGTCTTATGTTGCGGTTTGCGTGGCACCTGCCTGAGTTGATGCTCTGATCTATCTACTTGAATCTTCGACGATCAATGCGGCAAGCTGCTGGTTGGCCTTTTCGTCGCATCATCTGAAGTAGAACTCCCAGCTGCAATCGTTTGGCCTCGGAGACACGACCACACTGGGATCTTTTTGGGTCTGGCTTTGCGGGTCCTATTCATGTGTGTATGTATGCATGCGCATGTATGTAATGTGTATGTGTATGTGTGTGTATATATATATACACATACACACACACTACCTACCTACCTACCTACCTACCTACCTACCTACCTACCTACCTACCTACCTACCGACCTACCTACCTACATCCTTACATCCATAGATACATACATACATACATACATACATACATATACATACATACATACATACATACATACACGCATACATGCATACATGCATACATGCATACAAGCATACATGAAAGCATACCTGCATACATGCATACATGCATGCATACGTCCATACATCCATACATCCATACACCCATACATCCACACACCCATACATCAATACATCCATACATCCGTACATACATCCACACATCCATACATCCATACATACTTTCGCAAGCAAGAGCCCGTGCTTTCCCAGTGGCGGCTGCCCAGCTCCTTGCGGATCCATTGAGACAAGGTGGTTCCAGGTGGTAGTGGCTCGCTGCTGGTCGCCTCCTGCTATAGCTACGGAACGTGGGAGCATGCGACATAAATCCGGCTTCCGAAACCGAAATCACGTCCGGACGTTCTCTCTGCTGCACTGGGTGTCATGTATGGAGCCAACACTACCCCACCAGTCAACACTTATTTAATTTCAGCATGCGGCCTGCCACCATCAAGGCAACAGCGTTGCGCCAGTACAGTACACTGCTGGGATCGATCCTCACCGCCTTGCAGCAAAGGCATGGGAGTAACATGAAACTGTGGATTATAGTAAGTTTCCTGCTGCTTATGCGCCTGTATTGGAGTCCCAGTTTCCACGCATCTTTCGATTGTGAGTAAATTCCGAGTCCCACAATCAAAAGCGGAGGCGACAGATGCAACCTTGATGCCCCAGCCATGTTTCTGGTATGTGCAGGATTCGCAATTGGCAAGGTTCTTTGTAGAATCCGCCTTGGAAGTTTGAAAGAAAGACCCAGCAGCAACAGCAGTATCATGCAATATTAGTGCCCATGCCTGGTCCAACGCGTTGATGGCATGCTGGTAGTACTCCTTTGGCAGCACGCCCGTGATAGCACCGAGACCAGCAGCACAGGCCATGTTGTTCAATGCCTTCCACACTTTGATCTCGTGACACGAACTCATCAAACGGCAAACGCAGGACATCTGAGGCCTTGGTGAAGCCTGGGTTTATCGCCAGGGCTTTCTGAAAGTGGGCGATTGAGGCCTGCCTCAGCCGCGGTGGAACCACACTAGCTTTCCGCTTCGGCTCAAGATATTTGAAAGGTCAAGATAAGGTCTACTAACTGCTACGTGAATTTGTCGGCTTCGTTGCGGCTTTTGCACGAACCACAAGGAGAGCGCGTAGTCGTGCCAGATCTCTTCCTCCTCGCAAGGCTGTCGATTTAACATGTGTGTGCGTGCGCGCCTGACTGAGCAAGGGAGGCATGCTTAACAAAGAACACCTATAGTCTTTGCGAAGGGCAGGTATGTCTGATCCAATACCCTGTCCTTCCGGTATGTGCAGTTTCATGTTGGGCACAAGAAGCCCTGCATCAGTCCTGAATCGTCAACGGGCTGAAAAAGCCATTGACGGCCTGGCAGGGCACACTGACAGCACCAGAGAAGCAGAGGAATCACGATGCGTCAATGAAACCCCGTGCTATGACTGACATGAGTTCTGCTGCGCTGCTCCTTTACGGAAGCCCTTGCAATGTTGCATTGCTTTGGGAACAACCGGTACAAGTTTTTTTGCTCAAAGGGACCTGGGCCCTGACCGAGAAAGCGGTTCAGCAGCGTTGCGAGAACGACTGCTGAGAAAGACGTCAGACCAGCGATTCAAGAACGCTTCAACAATACAGAGCAGCCAGATACAATCGGGAATTGGCACATGAATGCTGGCCATGGTTGGCTGAGACTGTCAGTCCGGGCACTGCTGGGCCGGCATCGGTCAGACAACACCCACAGAACTGCCACTGGCGGCTCGGATTTATTCTGCTGTGAAATGCCGCCTTTGTTCACTCTACGTAACATCTCTGGCACCTTGTGCGAGTTTTTCCCACCCGCCCAGCTGACAAAGTGCGAGTTTTCGCTCGGGGGTTTGCCTCATGCCCACTGCAGCAGCCTCCCCTTCGACCTTCTGAAAGGAGATTTGACGCGGCATCGCTTGCCGATGTGACATGGTGCACAGGATGGCCTTCTCCAAATACCTGGCAGCTTCTTGATGCTGCCCCTTGAAGAAGAGGATCTGGCCAGCATGGTAAAGAGGCAAGGCATCATGATCCTCGGAACAACTTTGCGGATGTGTTTCAGCTGGCACTGGCACGCTCGAAACCGTCGCGATGAATTCAATCTAGAGATACAACAACATGCATCTCTCTCGGACACAGTTTGCAGAAGGCGCAAACGCACGCACGCGCACGCACCCACCCACACACACACACACCTGCACACACACACACCTGCACACACAAACCTGCACACACACACACCCACCTGCACACCTGCACACACACACACACAAGCAGTCCAACCTGGAACAGAACAAGCAGTACAGTAGGCAGGGTTGCAAGGTACCCGACAGACAACGCACGCACCAAAAGCACTACTGTAGGGTATCTCGTGCACAAAGAATACCATGCCAGATCACATGCCTTTGAGATGCATCAGCTTCCGAACACACGTCTTGCACTCCAAGCCCAAACGGCTGAAGGCCTGAATGCACAAGTGCAGCCCTTCAATCTTGCTGAGGCCTGTGTCATTCAGTGCCCAGAACACCATCCCGCAGCAACGCCCGTAGCTGTGTTTACCAATCAATCAGAACTGCCACCTAGGCTCTGTGGGATCAATCGTGATGGAACGCTGGTATGTAGCCAGCGCATCATCATATTTCTTAGCCTGTGCCACATCTGCCAGTCACGATGCAGACACGCTACAGAATTTCATTGAACCAGAGAACATGTACCGGGTACCGACTCATCCTGCGAGCTCAGTGCGCCTTCAAATACACGTTGGCGAGGTTGAACTGCACCCTCGCCTGGCTTTGCAGGACCAACCCCAGGCCTAAGCGAATGCAAAAGGCTCCTGGAACCATTCCAGAAAACTGCGGGCGTGACTTGCCGAAGTGAGGATGCTTCAAACATGCTAGCTGCAGGCTGCCTTAAGTCTCTTCACAGCTAGGTCTGAGCGACATCACATCTAGCCGTCATGCTTGTAAGCACAGAAGCTATGCCGAAATTTCAGCCGAGAGGGCTGAGTGCAGCTGGGTCAACCCATCAGCAGTGGTGATAGTGTCAGAATCCTTCCATTCCTCGACAGAGCACGCCCGAATTACTCCAGATCTTGGGCAAAAACAGTAATTACTCGTGTACTTAACTGGAGTTCAATGCAAGAGCAGCCACCAGCCACCACTGCACTTAGTCCTTTTAGCTTTATCGAGTGGACCTGTCGAGGAGGATGCATAGCAAGCCGCTGGGACGCGCAGGGCGCAGCGCCAAACGGCCAGACCTCCAGCTAAAAGCCTGATGGCACCAGTATGTTCAAGCGGTTGCATGCTCTCCGAGTCTCGGAAATCACATGACACCCCAGAAACGGATAAACAATGCAAGGCTAGCACCTAGTCGATTGCAGCGAGCAGAACCTCTACCTAACACAGCACAGGCACAGCAGAGATGCGAAGAGCCGCGGGGAGCTTGACCGATGGGCCAGGCAAACGAGGGTTGTAAGCAGGCCTTCAGGGGAAAAAGATGGAAAAAGTCTTGGGCAAAGCTCCAAGGGGCATCTGATTCATCCCTACGATTGCTGAAGCTACGTACATGTCATGTACTACATGCACGTGCGTACGTGAAGGCAGACCAGGTGTTCTCAGCAACTAGATTCCCTTAGAACTACGTACACTTTGGTTTGGTTATCTCTTGGATAGCCCGCTGATGTGAGAAAGCTTCGTCTCCAATGTCTCTCCTGCCGAAGGGATGTAGAGCAGCCGTTCACCGATCATCGTGCCAACTGGAAAGAGCACATTCGACCTGGATAGTTCCACATTGGCATGCAGATGTGCTAGCTACCTGCTACTTGCACACGCTTCCCGTCACAAACCCTCACCAGGAGATGCCCAACAAGAGACAGACATGGCTCGAGCTGCCTGCAGCAGATCCCTGTCAGCTCAGTATCTCGCATTCAGATCGAGGGCCCAGTTTGCAGGACAAGAGTCATGGGAACGAAGCTCAGCACGAGAATGGCGAGCCCGATAATAGGACCTTCTGCTGGAGGGCGACCACCCTTTGGCCGCAGCACCTTGCATGATGCAGCTCAGGAGAGAAATCACAAAGGTCTGAGAACATTCGGCTGCTCAACAGGTGCAACTGACTCTGGGTGCAGTGGAGCTGCTCCAAGTGACAGGACCAATAGGATGGCAAATCCGAGGTAAGCTGTGACCGGCAACATCAATCGCAGGTCTGCGGAATCAATAACGAGAGGAATGGCATCAAAGGAGTAGTCGTAGCCTGCCCCAATTCAAGCCGCTGATCGCTTCAGTCCAAGGTTGAGCATGACTGCAGGGTGGTGACTGCAGGGGTGGTGGGATTTCGGTCAGATATCACTGCAAAGGCAAGGCACAACAAAACCAGACAATGCTTTCCAAGGGACTCAGGAAGGTAGGACATACCAAAAGCTTGGCGTAAATGCCATGCAGCAAGGCATAGGTTCGCACGCGAACCCATCGATCACTGTGGACAGCCTAAGAAGATATCCGATGGGAAGATGGGGAGAAATTAACGGCTTTGAGGGGCATCAGCCTTGCAAGAACAACAACACCCACAGAGCAGATACAAAATCGAAATAGCCCTGATAGCACCGAAAGGGCCGAGCGGAGAATTGCAAAAAACACAAGCTTTTGTTATGCGGCACCCAGGTCCAAACGGTTTCATTTCACTTCCTGCGATGAAGAGACGACAGGGTTGCTGTGCGGATCCATGTTGTCGATTGCAGTCCCACCTGTGTACCTGGGATCTGCCACCTAGACTCACCAACAAACGCAAAGGCACGACCCCGATTTCTGAAAGCTGGACCAAAAATCGGAAAAGATGACAAGCACCCTTTGGGGTCTGCTGGATGCCACCAGCATGCCAAACTCTCACGCCACAGGAAATGGTTCCCATAGCCAAGATGGCCAGCAAGCGGAGTGCCCGGAAGACTTGCGATTGGCTGGTGCTCGTCAGACCTCCCGACGCAATCCAGCAACACGCTGTCCCAACCCTCAGAACAACCGGCAATACCTGAAAACTGGCAGCCTCTTCAGTGCACCGCTTCTGAGCGACTCTCGCCTCGGAGAATCTCCCAACCGGCCAGCAGCCCAAAGAAGCAGAAGCCTCAAGCTGAGACAGCATGCATTTCATCCAAAGCCACCCCCGCAAGCGTCTGAAAGACAAACCCTAATCACACATCAGTCTACACTGCCAGTGGCTATTGATGGCGCACGCACATGCTGGATTATGGGCAACTGTGTGTTTGCAGAAACATCCAATCCCAAACCTTGTCTTCCCTTCCCAGCCTGTCTCTTTGCAGAGCCCGGCTGCCACCAACAGCACAGCAGCCGAAATTGAGAGTGCTGGTGCCAGGATACCGAAGCCGGCTTTTTCCTGCAACTCAACCCTCGAACGTCCAACTCGCTACTTGCAGTTCTCCCGGAAGTGTATACTGTTCCTTTTGGCACCACGAAGTGACAGCACCAAAGCTACTAGCAGCAATGAACTGATGCTGCTGTTCTGCAACTGTCAATCAATGCCCTGGTACACCAAAAACCAAGGTACAACCACAAACCAATCCTTGCAAAACCCCAACTCAGAAGTTGTTGCGCCGACTGGCGATCCCAAGACTTCGGCCCTAAATGCGAAATTCTGTGCAGAACACTCTGGCGATCTTGTCTGCTGCGGGTTGGAGATGTCCATTGCACTCACTTCCGACTGCAGTGAGAAGCAGCTGTTTATGCTTTCCTGACTGCGGCTCTTACGGCTGGAGCTTCAGCATCATGATGCTGTCATCCACCACTACACGCTGTCGGCCGAGCGGCTTTGATGCAGGGTGCATAGATCAGGGCTGCCAGCAGCACCAGCAAGAGGCAAAGGAGGTCGGCCCTGCCCACGATGTAGAGCACCTCGGATTGACAGGCGCCCTGACTCCCGGGTTGACAACTGTTACTACGACGTTACTACGACATCCACTGTTGAGGCCCTGCTTTCCGAGCGGCGCTCTCTGTGTGCACCGGGTGCGCTAGGAAGAGCGCTCCCAGCAGCGCAGCCCAGTCCAGGCTGACACCAATGCACTGCCCGAATACGGCAAGGAGCTCCGCGCAAGCCTCAAGAGAGTCGAGTTCAATGCTTGTTGCGGGCTGGACTCCGAGAAGTGCCCCATATTTCCCTGAACCGAAGGGCCTTCTTGGGAAAACGTCATGAAACATGGAGCCCAAGGAATATGCTACCCTAAGTCCAGGGCCGTTCGAGAATCTCCCGAGTCCCCCGCGAATTTTCCCGAAGGACTTTCTTAGAGACCCATCTCTGTCAGCCATGGATTGGAAACTGTTCGGGGTACGCAGCAATATCTATGCCCTCCTTCGCTTCAACAAGGGACAGCGTTCAGCAGAACATTGACGATGTGGAAGCCCGAACCTGAGTCTCTAAACAAGCCGTTATCCGCAGGTTTGGGCATGCATGCGGCGCAGCTCAAGACCAAAAAAACAGAGGACCAATTCTGCATGCTGCAAAGCAGCCACCAAACTCGTGAACCGCATGATTCCAGCGGAAGGAGAGCACGGTCAAAGGTCGGAAAGATTTATGGGTCCAAGGACCCTGCCCAGGTGACGGAATCCATAGTCTTCTACCACGGGTTTGGATGAGGGCACGTGAACTATACCACAGACGAAGACCTGCTGAACAGCTGCAAATTCGCACAACAAGACATTCCGTGCAACACCGCCCGTGCAACACCGCACGACAAACCAGCCTCGAACATGTCAAGGCCCCAGTAGTCCGTCCGGAATAGGCGACGCCAGTTCAGCGCTTCATAGACGTTGGGATTTTTCCTCGGCAGCTGGAGGGAGCAAGAGTTAGCTACAAGCTCTGCGCTAACGACGGTTAGCCAAAACAGCTAGGCAAAAAGTGCAGGGGCGCCCTTTTTGGTCGAAGCGCAATCNNCGGGGCCGGGGTGCGCACTTCTGCGCCCCCCCTGACGGAGCCCCGCCCGAGTGGGCGGGCGCCGGCCGGTTGACGGAAGTCGATCAAACTTAAACACCTCAAGGGAGAGGCGGGTGGGAAGACGAAAAGCGGTCGAGCCGGCGAATGCTGCGCCGGTCGCCCGCTAGAGCTTGTACCTACGCACGCGCCGGGGTAGTCACCTCGGGCTCGCCCCCTGTCAGGGCCGGCCGACGCTGAACGGCCGGCGTGGTGGTGACCTCCGGCGCCGCCTGCGATCCAGCCGCCAGGCCGCCGAAAGGTGGCCTGGTCTCGGTGCCCACCGAGGTGGGCAGGCGGCCCCTTGACCTTTGCGGAAGCCAAGGCCGCCGCGTCATCGGCGCGGCGCTGCTCCTCCATCTCCCTCTCAATCCGGCTCTGGAGGGCCTGGGCGTAGGTGGCACCATCGTGAAGCAGCCGCATCCCCGCCAGGCTGCGGGCCATCTGCTCCTGGCGAATAAACGCCTGGCGGCGCAAGTGCTCATAGTAGGGCCCCTGGCCGTCGTCCGAGCCGGGCGCCGGCACAGGTGCCGCTTCTTCCGGCGTCGATGTCGAAGAGGGCTCAGCCGCGCCCTTGGCGACCACTGGTCCAGACGACGACGACGCAGCCGAGGAAGGTGCTGGAGCCGCCGCGGGAGCCGCATCGGCGGTCGGTGGCGACTGCTTGGGCTGCACCGGCGCCCGCTTGACCGGCGGTTTCTTCGGCGGCTCGGCAAGGAATGCGATAGGCCGGTCGGGGTAAGGCAACGGCGGTGCCTTGCCCCCTTTCCCCTCCGGCGTCTCCAAAACCAAGGCCGGGGGCGGCGCCTTCCTGAAGGGGGTCTTCCGCCCAGGCGACTTGGAAGACGACGGCTGGTGCTGCAAAGGCGACGGCGCACTCGTCGTCCGGGCGGCGTCGTCCTGGTCCTGGAGGTAGGCCTCGAGCGCCGTAGCCGGCGGGTCGAAGTCGTCATCGGGCAACGGCCGAACCGCTGCCTGCTCGGCCACCGCCGTGGCGTTCTGCTCCTCCCAGAAAATCCTGGCGGACGCCGGCCCAGGGCCCGGGTCGACGACGCCCGAGGACGAGGAGGGCGGTTCCACCGGCGTGTCGTCGAGGAGGTTGATCTCCGGCGGGACGGGCGCCTGAGCACCGCCACCTAAGGCCGGCGCCACATCCACCAGCGGCTGAGCGTGCGCCTGGCGCAGCGCCCCATCCAAGCGAAAGAGGCTCCCCGGCGACAAGGCCCGGATGGCCGCAGTCAACGCCGCCTGGGGGGTGTCGCCCACGAAGGACGAAAAGGCAATCTCACCATCCGTCTGGGACGCGACGTCGATCATGTCGAAGGCGGGCAGCAGGCCGTTGTGCACCGTCTGCACCCCGACGTTGGCGACGTCCACCACCACCGGAGGCGCGCCCACCAAGGGCGCCCCGGCGGGATCGGCGAGGAGCTCCTCCTCATCCTCGCTGGAGGAGGGCACGCCCATGAAAGGCGGCGCGATGTCCTCCTCACCTGTCGTCGGCTCGACCAAAGCCGGCTCGCCCGATGTGGGCGGCGCGGCGATCTCCAACTCCTCTGCTGGAAGGCCCGACGTGGGCTGCCCAGCCACCTCGGCCTCCACACCAGGCGCAGTGGTAGTCGGCGACGTCGGCGATGTAGTGGGCGCCACCACATCCAGGCCAGCCGCGGCGGCAAAGTCCGCCCAGGCGGCGGCGTCAGCCGACGAAGCACCGAAAGAGGCCATGATCAGGCGAGAGGCGAGAGGGAATTGAAGACGAAAAGCGGTCGAGCCGGCGAATGCTGCGCCGGTCGCCCGCTAGAGCTTGTACCTACGCACACACGTGTGCTACACCACAAGATTGGTCTACCGGCCATTGGCTGCAGAATGAGTCTCTTGATCATCGCATCATCCATGAAGAAGCCTTTCGTAAGGTCTACGGCCCCAGAGACCCAAGTGCTTGCAGGCTCTGCAGATACCGGGTTATGTTGGATCGTAACGTAAGTACCGGTTTTTAGCAATGCAAAATACCGCCGCCGTTGGTTCTACCACATCCATGAACTGAGCGTCTGAATTTCGGAAGGCGCCATGCCGTCTAGTGCTCGTGTCCCATGCGCCTCCCTCGAAGTCGTAGCTCAGCGCAGGAACCCAGGCCAAGGCTGCGATGAAGGCCAAGCAGCTGGCAGCAAGCAGCAGTGGCACTGAGGGCCTGGCCTGTGACGGATAGGATCGAAGGGGTTCGAACGGGGTCTCCGAGTGCCTCGGCGCTCTCGGCACGACGGCCCAGCTTGGCCAGTTCCCCCGCGCGCCGGCGAAGGCCTCATGCGTTTGAAACCAGGGGCTGAAGACTGGAACGCGACGAGTTGGCCGATGCCTCTGCACAGAGGCCTATCACTTCACTTCGTGGCGAGCAAAAAATCGCCACTGCATGTTTTGCTTCTGGTTCGCACGGGCTTTGCACATGTGTGTCGCCTTGCTACGTAAGCTTAGCAACTTCTGGGCATGGCCAAAAATTGGCCACGATGGTCGGACGAGCAAAAGGGTTCATGCAGCAGCTCATCGTCATGCAAACCCGCCACGGCCTTCTACATCAACTGTGCCTGCCGCTTCGCGCCAGAGCTCTGGGGAGGCCTGGCTACCAGAGAAATCCCTCATCCTTAGTCTAAGACCACCTTGGTGGTTCGGTACTTCTTCTGGTGCTGCTGTTCACTCCTTACCGCAGCAGTGCGTTCTATGAGCCTGTGCAGGCAAACAGTCTTGTCCCTTTCAGCCTGGTTCAGCCCGGCGATGAGCTCACCTTATCACACCAGACGTTTCTGCGCATGTCCACATGAGTCGCGCTGGATGTGCCAGCACCGTCTGCGACAACCAAGCTCCTGGCACAGCTCATCCAAGGTCTTGACGACAGGCTTTCTGTTCGCAGGCATCCCAACGCCAACGAAGAGAAGCAGTGCAAATTCCCCAACAGTGCTGCTACAGCCTAACCTAAACTCCTAAACCCTAAACGGACCAGTACGCGATAACAATTCTGGAGCCTCGACCTGTCTTTGCCTGCTGGCTGGGATATCCGGCTGTTGAGCAACAGTTAAACGGCGACGGGAAGTGCTCCAGGATCTGTGCCCAAGAGCCTGCCAGAAAATCGACCGCACAAGTGGCAGGCAACAGCTGCCTCTGTCTTTTTTTCCCTCATCGTGCTCTGTGACTGGGCCTGCTCCTTCTTCTATTCAGTCTTTCAACCGGGCAATTCCAGTTCGGAGGCGGCTCGTTCGGATCAGTGTGAAAAGTCGGTGGCAAGTCTGTAAAGATCCGAACAGGACGGGTCGTGCTGCTGGTAGCTGGGGCAGCTGGCCTTTCAGACGCCGTCGTAAACCCGTCCCAGGTAGGCGTCATCATTGGTTTGGCACGGCCCTTGCGGCTGGCACGGCCTCAGCACAGTAACCCTCAAAGGGCACCCTATTATAGAGCCCAGAAATGGTATGGGCCTCGCATTAATTGCTCACATGTCACGGCGGAGTGCAAGTTCGGAGAGGTGGTGCTCTTTTCTCCTGGCCGGCCATCTCACCAGTTCGTCTTGTTCGCCGGAGGCCAGACGACAAACGTCTCACCTCCCAAGAATCGTGCATTTGTCTGGTGATGCGGGCCAACTTCCAGGCCAACACCACCAGCAATCACCATCTTGACTTTTGCCCACGGGGTGTACTCCAGCTTGTGGGAGTTGTCTTCTTGGCTTTTCTCGCCATATATAATGGGCCAATTGTTCTTCACACACTGGCTTAGAGGTGAAAGATCTCTGGCTCGGTTCCAAAGCTGCTTGCTCAGGGCCGCATGGCCACCGTTTTTGGCGGCAACAGCAGCTTCACCTTCATGGGCTGTGCTTCAGTCTTGCCTAACTCACCACAATATCCATGTCATTTCGCAAGATTTCTCTTGAGGCGAGTGGCACATCAAGACACCGGCCCCGGGGCCAGCGAGATTCAGCAGCGGTGCTTCACCAGCTTTGCCTAGCAAGCACAAGCCAAAACCGCACGAAAGTTGGGTTTCGGCGCACGATTCAGGCGAGGCCTATGGGTTCCCCACCTCTAGGGTTGAGAGTTAAGGAGATGAAACGAATGGGAACCCTCCCCTGATCGCTGCACTAAAGTCTGCCTGGTCTTGACCTGCGCTCGACGAATGACGCCGAGAACTTGGAATCCTGGAGCGCCAGGTCGTAAAACAGAATGACTTCTGTCAGCACCTTCACCTGAGGCAATGCCATGCATGCCAGCTTGTGCATAAACCGGGTAAGGGTTTCGGGTCGGAATACGGCCCCTGCGTTTTGCCAGTGTCTCTAAGACTAGCAAAACGCAGGGGCCGTATTCCAACCTCTAACCCCGAGTAAGCTAGTGGCGGCATTATCCTCCATCAAGCTTGCTCAGGAATCGTCTGCATGTCCGAGAAGCATTGTTCGGCAGTAGGCCGAGGGCTTTGTCGTAGAACGGCTTGGCCTCTTGTGGCCTGTTGGCATCCACATCCAGAAACCGTGCCTGGTAGAAGTTCACATAGCCTCGATTTTCAGTCACATGGCTTCTTTGATTTCATGCCCAGCAAGCCCTCGGCTTCTGCACACTGCGACATGGAACTTAGCGTGACCTACTGCCAAATTCAGGTATGCACGCACGGGCGGCTGAAGGCTGCGGGATGCTCTTCTAAGCTGATCTTGGGGACTCTACCAGGCCACATGGCTTCGCCGGGGAGCCATTTTCCGGGAAGGTCTTGAGGGCCCACTTTCGCAGCTCGGCCGCCACCTTGTCGGTGTGAGAGACACAGCAGAACAAGTCTAGTCAAAGCATGTGAAACCTGTCCTGAGTCAAGCCCGCTTGAAAATTGCTCGTCTACGAGTCTACCCGACAAGTATTTGCCAGTCCAGTGGCCAAGAATCAAACGAATCTTAGTTTTGTTCGTGTCGCATCGTTTCGTTTCGTTGGCCGTAGTGTTCAGTGCACACGTTGTTTGCAGGCATTGCTTCTTAAAAACGTCTTGAACAACCACTCATGTCTGACTGGTTCGCTCTCTGTCTCTCTCTCTCTCTCTCTCTTTTTTCTTTCGGCAGGGTTAGGGGCATGGAGGTTTCCCCCCATGCTCTCTCTCTTCTTCCTTCCTTCGGGTTAGAGGAGCTTGTCNNCCCCCAACGTTCTGGGGCTTTCGGGGAGAGTTACACGTACCACAGCTCGTACCAAGAGGGGGAGAAAACTGTACTCTCTCTCTCTCTCTCTCTGACTACCAGGCCTTTACTTAGTGGCTTGTGCACGACTACTGCTTCGTCATCATTGTCTACGTGGATCACCGCTGCAAGCCTTGGGCTTCTTCATGCCGTGATGGAAGTGAGCAGCAGCTTCCATCAGCCGAGGCCCACAATGTTGGCCTGACATATGGTCTTGGCGGACGACTTCGAGACTGCCGTGTCTGCGGTCTTCGGAGGCGGCAGCAGCAGCCGACAGAGCATTGACGGGCGCAGACTGGTAGTAGGATCAATGATCAGTAGCTAGCAGTAGTAGTAGTAGTAGTAGTAGTAGTAGTCGCAGCAGCAGCAGGAGTAGTAGTAGTAGTAGTAGTAGTAGTAGTAGCAGTAGTAGTAGTAGTAGTAGTAGCAGCTGCAGCAGCAGCAGGAGTAGTAGTAGTAGTAGTAGTAGTAATAATAGTAGTAGTAGTAGTAGCAGCAGCAGGAGGAGGAGTACTAGTAGTAGTAGTCGTAGTAGTAGTAGTAGTAGTAGTAGCAGCAGCAGC